ATTTTGCTGTAAAATGCCTTTTGAACTAACCCTGTATATTGCTCAATAAACTAGTAGTGATGGCCGGAAGACAAGTGTTTTGGGACAAACAATTAGAAATTCTAAAAAAGCTTCTTGGCCAGTATACTCCAATTTTGCTGTTGTTATTTAGAAGTATGAATCCTACGGATTTGAAGAATTTCAAGTAGTTGCGTAAAATTATCGTCGCATTACCATCAAGTGCCAAAACCTGTATTTTGCCTGTTTTTCGGCCATAACATTTTTGCTATCAGTCGGATTTTTTCACGTGTGGTCTTATTCTGTGAGTCTCACAAATACCTGAAAATCTTACATAAGAAGTTTTTTCGTTCCTGTCAACACTTTCGATTGAATCCCAAAAAACACGTTTTCTCATTCTTTGTTATCTAATAAAAAGTTTTCCCACAAAATTGGTGTAACCATTTTATGCGTCCATGTTTAAAATGCGCCCTTGAACAACTTGCACCAATAAAACCGGACTTTGCAATTATTTCGGGGAAATTTGCTAATATGATTAGACTATATGTTAGATGAACGCCTACATTGGAAATAAACATTTATGAGATTAGCTTAGCGGTGCGCCTGTAGCCTGTCCAGAAAATGCGTCGATCGAACTGTAACATCTATATTGAATTTCATAAAATAATTGACTATACCTATTGATATTTTTATCACCTGCTGATATAATAGAAGTGCTTGATTGTGTCAGTATTTACACCAATTACTTGATTTGTTTAACGGATAGTTCAGAGTATTAATCCTTGAGCTTATTACACACTAGTAGACCCCGTTGCGCAATTTGTCTATAGGCAGGCACTTTCCATATTTTTTTTTCAAGTTGGCATTGAACAGATAGAACACAATGGATTTAAGGAGCAATAATAGGATAAATTCTAGAAGTTCCACTGAGGTAGAAAAATTACCAGCCCTAAATATCGTTTGCCCCCCCCCCCCTAGACGAAATCCCGAATCCGCCCTTGACTTACATATTGGCCATTTTGAATTTCATGGACAGGTATATGATGAATTACTACACTGTGATATAGAGCTCTTGAATTATTTATGCAGCAAATTTTATTGTGATTATCGTGCAAAGTAGTTACGCAATTTCTACGGGCTTCGTATATTTTAATAATGATCAAAAGTATGTCTAGATTTTTAAGATAAAAAACTTAACTTATCTGCGTTAAATCTTCCACAAATACTATATTTCGACACAATTACACTAATGTTTATCACTTTATATCTGTAATCTCCAACTGAAAGATAACTATTTAAATTTCAATAGAAGAATATATTTTTGCCCAATATGATGGGTGGTTATGTATAATCATGGCATCGTCCACGTTGTCTTTGGTTTATTAGAATATTTTGGTGTTGTCTGCAGGTGTTGTACAACAATTTGACAAATCTCTGTAATGAAATACGGATAGAGTCGAATTATTTACCCAGAGAATTTGTACCAGATATATATCTTCTGTTTGAACAGCTTATAAGACCTTTTAAACCAATATGCATGCGTTGCTTGTCTTAAAATATTGGTTATGGTATTTTAACTGAAAAAAAGACAGCAGAATGTTAGGTCATGGTGAAGTTGTATACCAATATTTTTAGCAACAAATTTATGCCGAGCACAGCAATTTTGTACTACCAAAGTTGCAATATTGTTGCAGATGTACAGCCTTTCACAGTTACTAAACGACAGTTGTATAAGTGCTTCCGTTGGGAGCAATTTGTTGGCTAAACTAGTAAATTTGCACAGCAAAACAACAAGGCTCGGGTTTATTGTATAAACGTTACCGTGGATGCCACAAGACAACTATTTTGACTATCGCGGAAATATGCCGTAAAAGGAGCTTTGTTATCGTTTCTTTATGTTTTTAGTACTTACAATTTGTTGTCGTTTTTATGGTTACAATTGCTTGGAGTCCTGGATTAGGGCACTTTTCTCTCTGGTTATATGAAATGTTAAACAGAAAAAATACGGAGATTGCTAGATAATAGGTCAAAGAGCTAGCTTTTATGGTTTGCTTGATTTATAGGTTAAACTCGCTGGGTTAATCTCCATGAGACCATCCAAAGTTATTAGTAAAAAGCAACCCTGCTGCTTTTGAAAAAATATTAGGTGGTCTCTTTGTAGAAAATATGAGCCTTCCTTTCCAGCTAAATATAGCTATACTGAACATTTTTGTCGATTGCAATGCCTTAGTTGAGATTTTAGTTGATGAAAAATTCTATTATATCAAATATTTATCTCAATTTATCTTCGAAATAAAGCAGTATTTTCAAAGTCGGGAGTATTTCTAGTAGATGGAAGGTAGTTTCAAAGAAGAATCTATCCACTAAAAATGTTTTCTTTCCACGAATCAATCGCCGCATTTTTCCTGATTTCCATCATTTTTTGATTTTTTTTTCAAAAAGAAATAATTGACTAACGGACATTTTTCGAGTATCATAATCCTGCTCTCAGAAATTCAACCCAAACATATACGTATAGTAAGTTTTTGAGATCGCCAAGCATTCTTTTAGTTTTGGAGTCAAATGGAAGAAACTCGGCGAAAATAGGTCCTTTTCTCACAATTTTCCTGACCACGAATTACAATCTTGACAAAGAAATCTGAAATAATCAACAAAGACACAACTGCATACTGGGTGTTTGGAATAGCCAAGTTATATCTTACTCTAACAATGTAAAACATGTGAGTTAAATCAATGAAAATGCGGTTCTTCCGTTCAGTGCAACCTGAAAAAATGCACTAAAATACTACTAAGGTGTTTTAGTAATCGAACTTATTATATCACGCTTTAAAAATGTCTAATACCGGAAAAATCAAGGAAATTGCGGTTTTTCCGAGTTATTGTCATTCTCCGGACCAAAAATTATGATTTTGACAACGGAACTCTGAAGAACGTAAAAATTCGAATGTAGAATGGGTTGCTGTGTTAGGCAAGTAATCCTTTCTGAAGCAAAAACGTCGAAAATTATTGTAGAACATCAGCGACATTTAAGGAATGTACAACCGACTCATGATATCCTGAGCTTAAAAGGTCAAAAGCTAGAGAAGATTTTCGCCATATTCATGACAAAAATTCATTTTATTAGTGAATGTGAAAAGGACGCAAGAAAGCACTGACATATATTGTGGATTTTCAGGTATTCATTACCTATTCGAAAATACGGAATCGAAAAATTCAAAAAATTGTTTTATGATCTACAGATCAGACAGAAAAATCACGATCATGTAGAAATACAATAAAGTGGCAACTGTGATTTTTTTTTAAATGTTTTGAGCAAAATTGCGCCCTTAAGAGATTATTTTAAGGTTAAGGGCCTATCGGCCTGAAAAATTTCCTTATTTTGGATTGATCCTGTTTCGGACACCTTTGGGGGCATTTTTCATATGTGGTTAAGTATAGGTGAAACTACATTTCAACATTACCTCCAAAGGCATCCAAATTATTATCATATTGGGGCAAATCATATTCGCCAAACCTTCAGGTCGCCCATAGCTGTCCGTAACCTAAAGAATGCGTTATTTCGGAAATATTTTTTTACGGGCGCAGTTTTTCTGAAGACATTTTGAAAAAATCACATAATTTTTAACCGAGTTTTAAAGTATTGAATCTACCCGTACGGTAGCCCAGATCAAGATCGTTTAAGCAACTTTTTTGAATACATCAATTTTTTTGCCAAGACATATTTTTGATCATTCCGTACAAACAGACTTACATTAACTTGATCATTATCGAGTTATAAGCGATTTAATGACTCAAAAGCCCTCTAAAAGGGCATATTCAATGCTTAAAAACTCGCATAAAAATCATAATCTTTGGGTTCACAAAGAATCCAAATTAAAGTTTAGACCTTGCTTTACAAGAGGAGTATTCTAAGACTACTTTATTTCAAAGCGATTTTTGACCTTGTTTGTTAGGTCAATATTGGCAGATTGTACATCCGTGTCTATCGGTCTGTCTGCAAATCCTTGTCTCGTCTATAACTTGGAAGGTACTCCTCGGCTTTTGATCAAACTTTCACACAAGGTTATTACTATGTGCCAAAGACGGAAACGCTTTGTGGATTTTGACAACCGATCCGTGGTGACGCAGCTAAGGGCAAACAACGAAGAAAATAAAAAACGTTCAAACTGCGCTCTTTGATGACAAGTTTATTGTGAGCAATTTTTTTGCCTATTATTTTATTGCTGATAAAAAGGAAAAATGATCGACAGTGGAATGCCATCAGGAGCCAAAGAAACCACCAATTGGTGGTCATTCCAGAAAACTAGTAGGCCTTAAAGGGTTAAGGAGACCTTTTTTGTAATTTCGAAAAGAAAATCCCAATAGATCTCTAGTCGATTTTCTTAAAAGTTGGTGAAATTCGTTTAAGGAAAACTTCCTTAAGGAAAACAAATTATGGTGACAATCTATATATTTTCTTTTAGCAGCTAGGAGTGCTATTGGCGCGTTATCTTTATCTGATTTAACCTAGTTTTTTTACAAAAAAGTTGCGACCGTGTACTTTGAAAATGAAGGATCTCCACACCTGTGTTCATCTGAACTTTTATTTTTAGAGACACTCCAAAAGATCGTTTGAATAGGAAAGTTATTTTGCTTTGTCCTTGTAATTCTTTTATTTCTTGCTGTCAAAATTTCAGATAACAAAGGCAATTATTGGGTGAGTTTTAGGAGTGCACCATCCCGATTCAAAGCTAAATTAGTATTTTGCTGAAATTGTTAAAATTGACAAATCCAAGCATTATATATCTAAATGACGATGGTGATGGTATCTTCAATACTGAAGCTACATACTTCTACTACATTTTAATAAGGACCAACTAAAATTATCAATTTCATATATTTTCAGCAACAGATTAATTTAGTTTTGAATACTCTTTGTTGGTGCTCGCCACTCTGCTATTGTTCTATAGGCTTCACACCAATAACTGGTAAAGTATAAAAAATTAGAGCACAATATAACTCACTTTTCGACTCTTTGTTTTCGGTCACCATGATTTTCTTCAAAGAAACGCACTGACTTGTAATGAAATCAAGGCACTTTTTTAAATCAGTTTGACTAATCGCTGTAATGATGAGTGCTTAGTACATCTGTGTACTGTACATATGTTATCTGCAGTGATAAAACATCTGATGTATGATTATCTCTGTAGTACAGTGTACATGAAGCACCTGAGATCGGTTAATTTTCTTCCTCAGAATATTGAGATTAGTAGGATATGTAAGGGACTGGTATGCCCCTACCAAACGGGAGCGCCTTTGACAAGTCTTAGGTTGGTCATGGCGATCGTATCCATAGGTTGCTTAAGGGAGGACAAAAATATTGTGAAAGCACCTGATCTGTAGGTTATTTGTTCAACCTAACAATGGCAAAGCCGGAGCTGATTGGCATGTTTCAGTTTTGCGAATTGGGAAAGTTTGGAGCTAAAGGGTACCAACCTCAGGATTCATATTTTGTGAGATTCCTGGCACAAAGCCATAAATACTTCGGACCAAGAAATACTCTGAAATGTTTATATTTTATTTCTCGCTTTGGGATCAGATATCGGTATGTGAGACAAAATTCTTGTATGATGCATCCTCAGACATTTTGAGCCTGGTTTTGAAGCTTCAATAGCCGTTTCGTATCGTTTGTGACGGCTCACACTTTATCTCTTTCAAAAAGAAAAATGGGTATTTTTCTAAGGTGATATTCGGTTTTTTACCAACTTTTCTGCAATATTTTTCGAATCACATCATTTCGAAAATGTTAAGAAATACATGGAAGTATATTACTCGATGTAAGAATAATATTTTTCGTACTTTCTTCGGAAAGGTACCCTTGTAGTGTTTTGAAGCTCTTTAAAGGTGGATTGGAATCATGTGCTGGCCAACGCTTTTCCCAGATTCAACTCCTCTGGACGTTTTGGCTTAGAGTTTTGTTGAAAACCAAGTTTATCTACATACTTTTGAAACTGAGCAGCACACGATAATATGTAATAGAATATCATATTTATATTTAGACAATAATGGTAACCTATTTGAACACCTATTGAAAATAAAATGAAAATTATGTTAAAAATCTATTCTTTATTGAGAATATCACTAAATCAAGCATCGTTTTAGCCCATTATATCATTATGTAATATTTAATATGCATCTATCAGTAAGCATAATCTTACATCAAGCATTTGTTTGCAACGCTTACTTAAATAAAATTACATTTTTCCTTATATCTAAGAATGCGTAGGAAAAGATGCAACCAGATACAGTGTGTATTTCTTTTTCGGACAATATAAAAAAATTAAGTTGATGGTAGTTTCTCAGGAACGAAACGTCGGGCACAAAATCTAAAAACACCATCATATAGTGCCTAAAAGGCGCCGATGAAAAAGATTCATTAGTTTTTTGATATTTCTTAGAATAAAGTCAGAACAAAGTAAAAACGATTATGACGTTTTATTTTGCTACTAGCTTTATCTGAACCTAACAGTAATGAAAGTCAGATTGTTTGAAAACAGTATTTTTCTATTTATCACCATTAAGATACACGCTTTAAGGGAGTTAGAGTGCTTTCATTTTATCCCGGTACCCCAATTTCATTAATTTTATTTTCAGTTAACATTTATGGAGTTTGATGGTAGTTCTTAGTGGATCTGTTCTGTGACATTATTTCCAATGTGCATAGATATGGATGCTTGTAATTTTTCGATGCTAAAGTCAAAGTTTTAAATAATACAAATTATAATAAATATAATAATAATACTAATTTCAGTTGTCTTAAATGTCCAGGGAGGGGTGAGTATAAAAAGAAAAAAGCAGTAGGTGATTTTAATCAAATGATATCTGTAGAAGAAACGCAAAGCAGGTAAATAATATGCTATTCCACAGCATTTCACAGGAAAGTGCCTACGTGTCGACCTTGCCGTTTTCTCTGAAGAGTTACCTGGCAAATGATACCATTTGAAACGAAATTTTACCTGTATGATAATGCGCTGATGAACTTTGTCATTTAGATAATAGGATTTAAATACGAAATATTTTTTTATTAGGGGACAGGTCAGTTGAAGATTACTAACCGGGGCTCCTCTGACAGGTAAAGCAATAAATCAAAATTCTAGGCTTGTTGTCGGTATTAAAGGAGCTGATATTGATTTGCATTTGGAGCAGCCAATGAACTGGAAGACCCTTCAATAATTTTGCTGGACCAATGTTTTATATGTAACTGCGTCGCTTTTGAAATCATAGTTCCCTTTGTTTTACTTATCACGCCTACTGACGGGAAAGTATTGTACTCGAGAAGATGTTGAAAAATGAGATATTATGTTCTTTGGGTGTTATGAAAACCTTGTAGTTTTTGAAAATTGGTGCAATAGCGGCATAGAAAAAGGCCGAAAACGAAGAACAAAAAACGCCTAAACTTCATCTTTTGACGTCTCAGAGTATCCTGGTCATATTTGAAAATTTTTTTAGAAATAAATTGTTTGTACGTGGGTGGGGAGGGTTTATCTCAATTGTTTGATGCTTGTAATTTATCGCACCTATTAGATATATTTCACTCATCATAGTTTTCACTCTCAAAACTACTATAATATCCTCAGCAGACGAATCGCGTGTCGTGGGATTTGACGAGTGTTCTGTTATGATATTACACGTATTTTTGCCGCGTCACAGCATAGCACCTATTGACGCTCTGACCGAACTGCCACATCTGACTGGATTAAGTATCGGGGAGAAGCGACATTTCCAGATGCACTACCTGTAGGGCAGCGAAAGAATGTCTATGGAATAAATATATGGACCTGTCTGACTGACTTTTTCCACAGAGGGTCTAGTTTGTGCTAAACATAATCCTTTGTAAACCAGCGTTGTGTCGGAAGCGCAGAATCGACCTACTTGACGCCATTTGTCTCAAGTTAGTGCTTGCGGCATGACTAATAAATGCAGGAGAATCGCAAATTATTTATTGTCAATCGAGTTCTTTCTGAAATTGAACAATTCGTTAATATACAATACAAAACAATTTCATCGTGATCCACTTAGTATAAACACTTCAAAAATGATCTTATTTATTCACCATACGTGATGTACTCGTGAGATAACAGCGACTCAACATTCATGACAGGATTAACGAAAGTTGTACGTTTCACGATTATATCAACGATTGATTACTAATCAAATGTATTTGTTGAAATTCGTTTAAATTCTCACAATGTACAATTACCTTGTTAAGTATCATGTTCCTTGAGATAATAAATGTACGAGTCTCATTGAAAAGCTTTCCACTTTCATGCTTTTGTCAAGAAATTTATTTTCTATATCAAAACTCTTATATATTTATTAACACAGAGCCATTGAGAAAACAAGGCTATTTTGTGTATAATGCAAAGTACGAGTACATCCAAAAAGTAACACAAGAAAGGTTTAACATATGTCCTAAAATGTCTCATTACCAAGATATAGGGTGTTCTTTTTTAAATAAATCAACGAGCCCCTTCCCACTTCAGTTGGCCCAACTATTGAAATCTTAGTTTTTTTCTTATCAAATACAAATAATAAAAATGTAGCAGGGTGTTATAGGTTTAAAATATTAACAATGAATATTTTGATAATATATAGTAGAAAACACCAACTTTATCACTCCCTAATCAAATTTGCAGCATAAAAATAACACATGTTGCAATTACAGCATAGCAACCTATTTTCATTTCAATGCAAAATAAGTCTATAACGCATAGGTGGCTGTGAAAAATAAAAGCCATGACAATTGTTTTTATTAATCACAGCTGTCAGAATACGTTTCAAATAGTTTTGGGTAGTTAAGGTTTTCAAAATGGGTAGAGGAAAGGTTATTAGTGAGAAACTTCGGTTACTGATAATTAATTTTTTTAATTCTGGGAAGTCAAACTCAGAAATTGCAACTTTGTTAGACTTATCGCGGTACAGTGTGAAAAATATTGTTAGAAGATATAACGTAACTGGTTCAGTTAATATTAAGCCACGATATGTGAAAACATGTAATATCACAAATGCCGACCGAAGAGCATTAAGAAGAATAATCGTGAAAAACAGGCGTGCCAATTATTTACAATTAAGTGTTCTGTGGAGTGACGCTGTTGGAAGGAGAATTTCGAGGTCCACAACTCATAGAGATGCCCACAAACTGGGATTTAGTACTTGCAAGGTAAGTTTTCTTATAAAAAAAAGGTGAAGCAAAAACCCTAAAGTTGCACAACTTGTTTGTAGGCCAAAGAAAAGCCACTATTAACTCCACTGCAAAAGAAGAATTGGCTTAGATGGGCTAAAGAACATAGACAATGGACACCTCAACAATGGTGTGCAATACAATGGAGTGATGAGGCCCGATTCGAAGTTTGTGTTGGTGACAGTCGCAGTAGAGTTATTCGCAAAAAATGAAGCATTCCATGTTGACTGTCTGAAGAGAAAAGTGAAATTTCCAGCATCCATTATGGTCTGGGGCAGTATGTCATCAAAAGGAGTAGGAAAACTTCACTTTATTGATGGAAGTGTGAATATAAACAAATATTTGGCAATTTTAGAAGAATCGCTTTTACCAGTGATGGAAGAATGTTTGACATCCGGCCAAGATTTTGTGATTCAGCAAGATGGTGCAGCGTGCCATACCTCAAAAAAGGCTATAAATTGGATGGAAGAAAATAATGTACCCATTTTGAAATGGGTTTCTAGCACGAGATGAAAAAGGTTCTACGACAACATCCTGCTCGTACAATCACCGAACTGAGACAAAAGCTTCAAGAAATATGGGATTGTTTTACACCAAATTTGTGCCAAAACTTGGTTAACACTATGCCCCAAAGAATTTCCGCCGTAATGAAAATAAAGGTGATGTTACCCAATGGTAATCTTTAAATTGTTACTTGGTTAACTTGGCGCATTCATTCGCACATTGTTTATTTGTTCAGATGTTCTAGTAGTTATAGGTCTAAGTGACTTCAAATATGTATTTTTTACGACTAGAGTGTATTTAAAATGTTATTGAGAAAATAAATTGTTTTAGAAGTAAATAGTTTCGTCATGTTTAGTTTATAAAGGCATATTTTGGTACAAATCTTGAAGGGGCCAACTGAAGTGGGAAGGGGCTCGTAGCTTTGAGTACCAAGCATCACTAACTTCGGCGCATTTTTAAAGTAAATGAGTCTTATATACGGACTCTACCTCAAATATTCGAACCAATCTTCAAATATTTCTTAAAAGAGGCGATTTAGGAGGACGTGAAGTTAGTGGCGTAGATGATAAAAAAATCATTTTCTTTTTAATTCTTCAAGGGTCAAAAATTTCCAATTTCTTCGTCACTGGTGAGGTCTCAGACCCGAAAGCTTTTGTACGTGTTGGCTAAGCTGGTACTACTGGATGTGCAAAATCAATATCTAGATACACTTCGATGACATGATTTTTTTCGAAATTATAACTTCAAAGCTTTGTATCTTGGTAACGCGGTATTGTGGGACCCATGTTTATATGAACTTTTCGTGTTATTTCTTGAGCTGCCTTATTCCCTAGAAATATTGCCACTGCTTTCTGATTCCCTGTATAGAAAAATGTTTATTGATCATGACATAAACTTTCTGGACGTATTGTAATTCATTTTTCTTGACTATCTTATTCTCGAAATGACAGGGCGAATGAAACTAATGAAAACTGTCAAGACAGCAGATATGCAGGTTGTCAAACTTTGGTAGGTATTTTCTTTTTTAGATAACATACCCAAAAGCCCAATAACTATTAATCAACACCCATGAGTAGGTTATATTAAATCTTCTTCTTTTAAAAGGGCCTATCCGAGTGTGTAATAAAAAGTACGTCTTTCCATTTAAAACATTTTTTTGAAGTGAGTCAAAAGAAGGACACCCTGTATAATTGTGAGTATAAATAGTTTTCTTTAATAATTTATTTAGCAGCAATACTTGCATGCTTGGGACGCAATAAGAACCGTTGATCTGGATGCTCTGCAGAGCTTATTTCCAATGTTTGAGTAAGATTCATCGGGTACCGATTTGTGCCCCCTCCAATTTATATGTTTCTTAGTCTACCAAAATTCACCATTTTTTTTCACAGTGTGTTGAATGTTTTCAAGAATATTTAGTTATTAGCCTTAGCCAGTTTTTGCGTATGAAATAGATTATCTTCAAAGATTTCTTCCACCATATATATTTGAAATGTATACGTTTTCCGGTAATCGCGAAAGCACAAAGTATTTTTAAAATAGCTCAAAGAACCATCTGATGAGTTTTTGTCCCATCTTTATGAAACATCCTATATTACAGCTGTTGAGAATATCCAAGTAAGTAGAGTATAATAACCCTTAATGCCCTTGCCTAATGATCCCCTCAATAGTCGCCAGTCTCGTATAAAAATCGACCGTCTGTGGCGCCTGTCCCCACTAGTGGTCACGGTCAATGCTGCCGAAGACCAAGAAGAAGAAGGCCACCAATCTTCATTTACCTACTGTCGGTATGTGTCGACCGGCCTTCGCTATCGTCCTGGTCTGTGCCCTTACGGAGCTCGCCCATTCGCAGAACCGTGAGTACTTATTGCCCTTTATGTAGTGTAAGCTGTCGAGGTGTGTGACCCCAATTGAGAGCGATCCGGGTAACTGTATGTTGACCGATATCCGGGCACTTTTCTTGAATTAATTTCTGTGGTACAAGGTCGTAGTGAGCATTCTGAATGTGGGTTGTTGACACATACAGTGTTGGTCGAAAATGAAGCCAGAAAATTCACGTCATGGAAGAGATCGTGACACTTTTTGAGGTTGTAATTATTGTTAAAGCAGATGAGACAATTATTTTATTTTCTTGTAATTTAAGGATTCATTTGTTGATATTTTTCGTTCAATTTGCTTTTCTGTTCTTTCAAATCTATTTTGGAAACAGCGTGATCTCAATACCGGCTGAACCGATTTTGGATAATGGTTGTTTTTGCAGTTTTGTACTCCTGACCGTTAATATCAATTCAAGTTATAAGTTATTGGGATTCGTACAATTTAAAACATTTATTAAAAAACAACCTTTCGGCGACTTTAGACGCCATCTTTAACTAAACAAAAGCATCAGAAGTTACAACACAAATCTCATTAAAAAGGAAAACTGACAAAAAGTGTAAAATTTTTAGACAAAAAAGATTTACTAGTTGGTATAAACAATCACATTTCTGTCCGATACATGTTGGTAGTTTGAGTGTAGGTCAACGACCGGCGATAAATATTTTCTAAAAAAATGAAAACATAACAAATGTAAAAAATACAAGAATATCAGCTTTCAACATTGAGTGGTGCTTTATCACTCTGTTTGTATTAATTTTGTGTGGAATATTTACATCAGTTCTATAATTTATACTGGTAGCGTCTTTCTATGTATAAATATATCATTTCAAGGTTGCTTCTTTTGGAAAAGTCCGGTTTTTGTGCAGAATTTCTAAATTTTTGAAATCAAAATCATGCTGATTGCAAATTGCATGTTTGGATAACGCAGTGAATTTTAATTGCTTTTGGCATAGACATGCTTATACATCATTTTCCTTATATGTTGTTTACTCTATCCTACATATGAACTTGGACAATCCTTACATATTAACTTGTAAATCAAATTGCTTTGTAGATATTTTTCTATTGGCGGTTTTAGCTTTGAACATACATTTTATTTGTTGCAGCAGGTTTCTGTGCTACATGAACTTTGCGTTTCGAAAATACTTGATTTATATTTTTAGATAGTCCTGCTACATAAGGCAATGATATATATTTTTTGTTCTATTCATCAGTGCGTTGTTTTGTATTATAAAGTTGATGTACCCTCTATTTATGCAGGCTAAAAAACATTTATTTGAAAATTTTTCCAACTTAAAGGTTGACTGAATATAAGTACTCTCTTGCGTTTTTCTCAGATCCTCTCAAAAAATCATGAATTTTTGCCCGGAATATAATTACAGAATTCTTATATAGGTAGCTACGTTAACTTTAAAATTTCAAAAACTGGAAAAAATGGCGAAGATGCGTTTTTTCTGATTGGTGGATTTTCACGTTTGTTATTTGCTGTTAAGTCTCATTACCTCACCAAAAACTCGAAAATTAATTTCAACAAATGTTTTTCTCAAACCTATAATAAGTTCCACAAATCTATAAATAGCACTGTTATGTAAAATATAACAATGTAGTGTGGTAAATTTTTTCAAAGTTGTTTGATTAAAACTGTTCCCGTAGGAAATATGCCTTAATTTCAATCGATTCGGATGTGGATTCATTTGGGAGCAATTTTCGTACGTAGTTTCGTCTAAAGCCTTTATCTATATTTTCAAATTGTAGAACCGTAGTGAGTAATTTATTATTTTCTAAACTTGATGAACTTGCTGCGGGAATATCTTACATTCTGGGAAAAAATCAAGACACTTAAGTGTTCGTTCTTATAGGACAGTAGGAAAATATTCTTTGGAAGGTGTAAACATTTTTAAGTATCTATATTTTGGTCCTTCATAAAAATATCCCTCATCAAATTTACAATGGGTAGATGTGCATGGTATCATTCTCTCGAAAATTCCGAGGGCTGCTAGTAGTAGCAAATATTAAATATATACTAATCTGCTTAATTTGCTTAATCGTAACGAGTCTAATACTTGAAAACGAGCGCCTAAAGTAAACAACAGAAAATGGGCGTAGTTCTTCATTTAGAGATTTTTATGGCAACTTTTGGTGGCGGTCAAATAATAAATGTTCCTAAATTTTTCATATCATTAAATGTTTCAACACAAAAATTAACTTCGTCTTCAAGCATGACAGCGGGACATCCGATTTTTCCGCTATTTATCAATAGAATGACCTGTAGAGCGACTTTTCTACCAGGGAAAGTGGAATAATGCAATTTCTTAAAAACCATAAGAACCACCTCTTTCGATTAGTTATTTTACTGCCTTGTCTTCAAGCACCGACCTCTAGTAGTATCATGAATCGTAAGGTATTATGAGCATAGCACCTGCAGAGTCATTTTGGATCACTACTGTACATTGTACTTTATCGTTGCAGCGCATTGTGCTTTGTGTTACGTACTGTCAATTTCTTTTAGTGACCTAGAATGTTCTGCGGTCTGGTTAGCTGCAGCATTATTATACATCTCTTCAGTAAACGGCAATTCTGTTTATAGACTACTTATTGATTTAAGAATAAGCAACCAATTACCGTCGTATTTTAAGAGCAATAGCTGATTTAGTCATTTACATACACATACATTTGCTAACTACATACGAGCTAAAGAACATGGAGATATCGACGCTGGGTCAGAAGAGAAACCTTATTTTGTATTTGGAGGAACCCTATGATTCAACAGTGTTTTTTATTCACGCTACTGACCTTTCACAAAATGTATAACACCGCTTGATCAATAAATTAAAATCATGTTTACATGTTTACTTTTTGAGAATAATTGAGATCTTATTGATTCAGGAAGAAAGTTTTTTTTGGAAAAGAATTCAAAATATTTTGTAAAATATTTCGTTTGAGATTCATAACAAACCAATGGCGCACTAATTATTGGTTGTTTGAAGAATATTTAGAAACACTGACAAGATTAAAATTTTCGTTGTTTTACATTTTCTTCGGAGTCAAAGATGGCATATTTCGCATTTTTTAAAATATTGTATCGCTTATAGCTCGAAAAGTATACCTGTAAGCTCTAGGGAGTAGTTCTGAAGCACCTTTTTTGTTTAGAATACCTCAGAAAACCTAAAAACTCTTTGATCGGAGTGAAGAAACATTTTTTTGGATTTGTCCAAAAAAATTCTTCAATAATAAAGGCTCTTTTTGAATGACATTATGTAAAAAACCGGAATCAGATTATTTTTCCCATCAGATGCGAAGATATTGCCCGAACTATTAAAATACCTATTTTGAAGTATAAATGAAGGGAAACTATTTATATCTGACTAATCAAGCTAACTAACCAACTTCAACTGACTATCATTTTCTTGCAGCTTACTACGTAAAAAGATGTTTCAAGAGAGACACAGAGGTGAACCAGTGCCTGAAGCAGTCGACCAATTACCTGATAGCAAACATCAGGAGGGGCATCCCAGAATTAGGAATAACGAATCCAGAACCAATTGTGATTGACGAGATCCAGTTAGCATTAGGGAATGGCCCAGACGGATACAGGGCCACATTTAGAAATATTGAAGCGTATGGTGTTAGCAATGTCACTGTTACGGCAGTGAGGTGAGATACTAGTACATTAGTATTATATACACTTTCACAATTTTATTTCAATTTTCATGCTACAAGGAGGTACTATTGCAAACCTTTTGGAATTTTAGCGATAAACTGTAAAACCATGTTTACTCGTAGTTCTTTCACCATCGGCTGTTAAAACATTTTTGGAGTTGATTTCTGTTTTGCAAATTACTGAGATAGTGGTAAGACTTTTTTGGGTGAACGAAAATTGAAAAAATATGTTGAAATTTTTTCTGTATCTTTCCTCATTTTAGCATATAGCTGACATTTCTCTAGTTGAGCTCAAACACGTTTCGGCAATAATTTTAGTTCTACTAATCTTTTGGTGAAGAATACGTATTGCGATTGAAAAAAATCAGAACTACGATATTATGTTTTTTGAACATTACATGGATGAACTTCTCGTAAAACCACATCACTCAATTTCATCAGTCTGTCTAGCTCTCCACTATCTGTGCGGTGATTCTCCATTAATGGATTTAAGGAATCGAGTTCATATTTTTATATATGTAAATCTAACATACTTGTCTCAATTGACGAGGTTTTCTCAAAGAGTAGCCAGCATTAGCAGTTTCTGTCTATTGTCACTTTAAAAGATGACTAAGAAGACGGCTCACATTCTAAGCGAAATTTAATACATCAAGCCCATACCAATACAGAAAGTGAAAGGTGAAACTACAATAAGCCAAACGTTTCAAATTATTGACTGGCAGGTGCTTCTTAGCTTTTTAATTAGATTTACTTGATTATACTTCCAATATCATTATTGATAATGAATACGGCCAATAAATGATTTACTTGTCAGAAAAGAATTATCAATTAAATCATATCTTGCTATTATATATGTAAAACCTGTTTCATGGTGTGTTGATTGATACTGGTTCAACAAACCATTGACGTTCTCATTTATATTTTATAGAAGAGTATACCAGTACAAAGAACTTTGAACTATAAATGAACTCCGTGGTATTTTGTTTATCTGATATGTGGTCTGAATTGTTAGACTTGCTCGGCTCAATATTAAATTTTGTGTATATTCTCGATACAATATTAGAATGTCTCTTACAAAAGAGCTTATTCAAAGTTTTATGCATTAAGTCTAATGTAATTATATTATGAACAATTTTGAAATATAATGTTGTTTTAGGTCTGATGTAGAAACCAACCAATATCAGTTCACCATGTATATACCAAAAATCACAGCCAAAGCCAAATATGAATCCAGTGGCGTACTCATTTTGGTACAAGCTTCAGGGGGAGGAAATTATTGGGGAGAATATGGTACGTATGAAAAACCTTTCTTTTTGCTGAAAATTGTTGCAGAGACAAAAGAGCGATATACAGAAAATGAGACACAGACAATCTTAGTTTGAATAAGTTTAAGATGCTCCAGATGTTCTCAAAAGCCTTTCAAGGATTCAAAAATACTTGCAGGCAGAAATTATTCTAATTTTCAGAATAGTATTAGTAAATAATAAACTTTGATAGTGTCAAGTACTTGTGTTAAAGCTTAGCGATTCAAGTGGCAGCTAAATTGAAATCAAAAGTATAACCTTACTTCATGTCTATATTGTTTTTCAGAGGGAGTAAAGATCAAGATATACATGCGAGGTCTACCGCACACACATAAAGGCAGGTCATTCCTGACCGTACAACAAATGAAGATGGACTTCAGTGTGAAGAACATTCGGATGGGTGTGGACGGAATACATAATGGCAATACTGTGCTTCGTAAGTTCTGAATTTATAGCTTGCAATTTACTGTTAGTTCATAATCGGAATTGGGCCTAATGTTTATATAACTGTAAGCTGTGCTCAACGTTGAAGATTCATTTCAGTTTTAATGGATTTAGATTATATTGCACAATGTTTCTTGGGGCCTCCTGTACTACTCGTAGTACGAGTATGCTGTCTTGGAATACTTGAAAAAACTCTTAGCATCATAATTGTAAGCCTCGTCAAGATTAATATAACATAAAAATTTCGTTAAGTGAAGCAAATATTTTCGAGAGTTAGAGGCTTATTGATAATTTTGGAGTGTTTAATATTTCGAGGATTTCTGAGAAAACGTTTTCAAAAATTCCCACTTACCTGTCTAAGACAAAATACTGGTTTCCTGAGCAGATCAGGTGAATAGATCCTAAATCCAATATGTTTGACGCTAGGACTTTGTAGATAAATGGTTCTGAAGTTTTCAGAAATAAATTACTTTATTATCAATCTGTAATACCAGTTTAGATATCTTGACGAATTTGGCATACATGTATCAAGAGGCATTTTTTGATGTGTCACATTTCCACCAGCAGCGTTGATGCGGAATATTGCCTGCCTATTTCTTAAGCAAATTTGATTGCTTTTTTTGCGCACGATTTTCGTCTTAAAAAAATCATAACAGTATATTTAATACGTCAATACCACCATGCAGAAACATAGATTTGATGTTTTCAAGTGGAAGCCATGCGTCGTATTAAAAAAATTTAAGAGATCAAATCTGGTCACAAAGGAATACAAATTTCAATTTATATTTTTATATTGAACAGTCAATGGCGAGCAAAAAGATCTATAACTGGAAACTTTACTATCCTGTATCTCAAAAGTTAAGCTGCTTAGAACACAAGTTCATATGAAGTTTTTTGCACAAAATGGACCAAAAAATCGCGCTTCTATATATTTACATTAAAATGGGACATACCGTGTATAGTATTGCTACACATATTTGAGATTTCAGACCTATTTTCATATATATGTAGGTGCCAGATTGCCCGATTATCGGAATGTTCAACCTATCTAATAGACATGCGCTAGCTCGATTAGACATTTGAAATATGTATTTTTACAGAGGCAGCACTGAACCTGTTCATCAACTCGAATAGCCAAGAATTATTGAAGGAAATGAAACCACATCTGAAGAAGAAGCTATTGGTATTGATGAAAAACTTTGCTGACAATCTGTTTTCGACTGTCCCATATGACTCATTCGTAGCCTAAGTAATTTATTTTGTAATTAATAAGGACTTTTTTTAAATAAATATTAAAACATACATTTTTATAACAATATTACCAATTTTCGACTCCAGCACAAATAGATGGTATGCTCAAAAACACTTGCAAACAATGGAGCTGGAAATCTGAACCATGAGTAAATGTGCATTTTACAAAAAAAGGATTATACAAAAACTATTTGGGTCAAAGAGAGATGCTGGTGGCGTACATTTTGAACGGTTTAATAGATTAAGAAGTTTAAAAAATCATTATTTTCAATGAAAGTCGCTATTTTACAACCGTCTCCTAAATGTTTGCCCATGAAGGTGTACGACGAAAATGCGCGTAACTGCGAGCAAAGTCTAGAAGGTCATTTGCCTGGATGTGCTATTCCATACACAATTATGTTTTGTATTTAATTGAACCCTTACGTGAAGTTTGGGACCCTTTATTTATTTATTCATACGTATTTGACTTTCAAAATGATCCTTGAAATTACATCGGTACATTACTGAATGAATCAACGTGCTGTCGAGAAGTTCGGAAAGCTAAACCATACGTTTGAGAGCGTAATTGTTCTATTAAATCCGCAATTATATTCTGAATCGTTGCATTATTTGTTTCCGCTTCGATGTCTAATCTGAAGTCATTTTTTTGTGGCGCTATGTAATTTTTGAAAAATTGCTTAATTAGATGCTTCCTACCAACTAGGTTTCGTTGTGTTAGTATCACATACTTTACCCATCCAGAGTCGAGGAATATTCTGTAGAAGTCACAAGTGTTTTACATCTTTGACCTAACAAACAAGTTTAAAAATCTTTTCTAAATAAATTTTTCCTTTTCAAGCCTTTGACATACTCTTTTTTAGGGGTTTCTAGACATTAAATAATAATAATAAGTCTTTTATTTCAGTAAAATGTTAACTAAATAGAAAAAACAGTAGACCGTGGCGAAGTCAAGAGACGCAGGATACTCTGCTTAACCACCATAGAGTTCACGAAGAACTAAAAAAAAATAATATTTACCCTGGAAGCTGGTACATACATAAATGCAATAAGCTGAATTCAAAATAAAAGATTAATATTAGACTATAAGCAAGCAAGCTATGCAATATACATAAATATGTACATAAAAACTCTGCTTGAAGAAGTAGATTCCTAATATGACTGGGCAAAAATTAGAATATAGAGACGAATAGAAAATCAGTGGTGGAGCAGCGTCATATTGTTCACTGTCGATCGAGTAACTTTTCTTTTTTTGATTTATATTTACATTTATTGATATTTAATAGTCGATACTTTTCTTGAGGAAAATTGCTCTGACAGCATTATAGAAAAAATATATACAAAACAAAGCAGTTCAATGTTGAGGCATAATAAGGGCCAATTTACCTCTGATGTTCACATATTGAGCTGAAGATTGGGTTGAAAAATTAGAGCAAACCTAAGTGTTGTAGTCTTTGTGTGAGATTTCATAGCTAACCATGTGAGCTCCGTCATGCAGAGCACATACGAGCACCGGCACTCCGACCGCGGAAACGATTGGAATATTTTACACTAAATGCAAAAAGATGTCAGGTTTTGCTAAGATTATTTGGATTATTCGAAATTATCTTCGCAAATTGCCCAGTATAATGCTTTTCTTTTGCATGTAACCACGAATTATGTAGTCGGAACTTCAAACTTCGTTTTTAAAAAACTTGATTTGGTTCCAACAATAATGTACATGGACTGAACCGGAATTACAGTGTGAGTGTTCGCTGTGACCGAAATTGAATGACTGACTAATAATTAAGATACATTCGTTAATATAAACCAAAAGTGATGAGCTAGTAAAAAGGTACAATGCAATTATTATATCAATTAATAAAGTGTTAAATGACAGCAACATAACTCACGAGGGACAAAAATGGCTTATTGTAGTATTTTTTGGGCATGAAAAAAATCTTAAGCACAGATATTTAAACTTCCTTTTTGTTGGTCATACTGTATAAGCCGTGAATTCTCGGAACTAATTTCAGACTTTTTAGTCACCTAAAATGATAAGCGTCTATCACATGCTTGGATGTAGATGTAAATACCAATTTCCTCCTAAACATCACCTTATTATCGATATGAAATAACAATTGCAGCAATTGCAGTTCCTGCAATTTCCTAAAGCCACCAATTACGCTTGGGACGCTATTTAAATGATATTTGATCATTTTTCCTTTTAGTATTATCAAGGGAACTGACGGTTGTGGAACAAAAAATGTTACGAAGAGTTTTCGTAGCACTTCTGGTCGGATACTTTGGATGTTTCTGCGACGACCTCCGTAAGCATCAAACGTTCAATATAATATTCATCCCAATAATTCATCAGACAATTTTGAGCACAAAAATTGCTATTAAGTTACATTACGTAATTGCATTTCTTCATACATTTCGTACACAACTTATAGTATCGAGTTGTATTTAAAGTAGTGTGACATTTTTTCTGGTCAAGTATTTTGTTTATTTTACAACTCGGTAATCCTTCAAATAAAATTTGTAACACTTAAGTTTTCATTTTTAGTTAGTAGAGCTATTATATTTTTACGCGGTATTCTGCATCACAAAAACCGTGTCACTGACTTCCGTCAGTTTGTCTGCCTGTCTGTCTGTATTATGTCAGGCCTCTGTATGTCTCAGATCGTAGAGCTCGGATTTTGAGGAGACTTTGACGTACCATGTCAAGGACGAAAAAGTTCTATGGGTTTAGAAAATTCAATGGTGGCGCAGACTAAACACATTTAGAACATCCCAACCACTTTGTTTTTCGATGTTTATCAAGTTTCTGGTCATTTTAGATAATGGTCAGACCGTTTTTTGGAGACTCAAAATTTTCAAGTTGTATGTGTCTCAAATAGTGCTCAAAATATTCACTCTATTGGACTTCTATGTATCTTGTCATATGCGTAACTGTTAATTTAGTACCCACAGGCTGGTCGCGTATTCAGAAAACTTCTAAGAAGTTCTTCACTCAAATAGAATCTTCTCTTTCTTGATTTTGTATTCTCAAAATTAATTTTTAGAAACTGCTCTTACATTATGAAAAATTCTATTCGAAAATACTGAGTCAACCTACTAGGCAAGACATTTTTTAATATTTCTATTCAAAATGGGTTGACGAAAATCCAAGTTTAATATAAGCATTTTTGCCTAATCAATGTAATAAGCCCATAAATTTATTTCAAAATGCTTCGTTAGTAAACATAGCAATTTGGATAGTATTCATCATTTTTCATGGTCAAGGTTTGCCATATTAATGAATATAATGATTCACGAGAATTTGATTTATAGCCTCATTTATACATGTATGCCACAAAGAAGATCCCCAACTAGAACAATGTTTGATGGCCTCGGTTGAAGACATTAGGCCCTTTTTGGTAGAAGGTAAGTTCATTGAATAATAATCTTCCATATTTGTCTGAACAATCGAACCACTCGTGTTTAAAATTCGTCTTTATTGTCCTAACTGTGACCTTCTTCAGTACAACCACATAGTACATCTGACACTTTTTTGACAATACATTTCATTTATCCTTCTTTCAGATGACATTTCGTTTGTTTTTTCTTTTATTCTCACATTCCTATATTGTGTTTTCCTACAGTAGTCCGAAAGGTCCGTAACATGCTGAGATTGCACGAAGCCGTGATTCCAAGTTTTAAGATGGCACCACGCAAAACCAGCATAGCCCAGGACCGCTTGGGGTAGCCCTCTACAACGACAAGCGAGCATGAGGTTATCTGTCGTTTTTTAATCTACCAGTTACGTGACCCTCGTCCATTGTTTCGAAAATTCCAAAAACGCGAAAAGCCACGCAGTACTGGTTAATTTTCGTCTAAAATGTTTCAAATGCTTATGGATCGTCATTTCGGTAACACACTGTATAGGAATGTGAAAATAAAAAGGTCAAAATACCCGTTTTTAAACATTTTGAGATGAAATATCCTATTTTTACATCGTGTTCTGTACACACAAATCCAGCTATTCATAGCTCATGATCAACATTTCCACTGGCTAAAACTGATACCTGTCTACAGGGGTGCCTGAATATAACCTACCTCAAATGGAACCACTCATATTGAAAGACCTTTTCTCAGAGGAAGCATCTGGTATGAAAATCACTGTCTCCAATGTTAGCGCATGGGGATGCACAGACTTCTTTGTGAGGAATATAGAGTAAGTATACAGGGTGATTCACAAGTCGTGACCAAAAATAAAACTTCATACACGTGACCGGCTTTTAAGGGGGGTCTTCTATGTAACATTTTTTCCTCGATGGCTTCATTAAAAAGATACGGGGTGTTGAAGTTTAAAACTAAAAAATATCTTCAAAACCGTCAACAGTAATGAACTAAAATTTTGATAAGGATTTACCTAAGTATTGTCCACATTCAAAAGTCTTACTTAAAATTGACGTGCACCAGTGGCGGAGATACAGGGAATACAAGGTTTCCCAAATAAAAGTAGTACGCCACTGTACGCGCAATTTTTCTAATTTTACCTTCAATTTGCTACACATAATTACTATTGTGTTTTTTCCTAGAGTGTTCTATTTTCGTAAAACAAATTAGATCATTCATGAAGAGTCGAGATACAATTAGTTTCAAAATAAAACACGATTCCTTGGTACCAACTTGACGTTTCTTGGGAGATAGTTTGTCAAAATTATGTGATATACGGCTGTTATCATTACTACTATTTTTTTTTTGTAAAAGTCAAGTCAAACGTTTCTTTTTTTTTTTATTTTTGAGTGTTGTGAAATGGAATCTAGTAATGATAAGTACGCCGATATTATTTTTGTGTACGGGTTCTATATTGGAAATGCTCTGGCGGCTTCTCGGGAGTATCAATGTGGATTTCCTAACAGACCCCAACCTACCCCAAAGGTCTTTACCCGTTCTAGACTTCGGCAATATGGTATTGCCAAACTTTCCAGAGTTATAGGCCATGGTGTCCTGCATACTGGTCAAGAAAAACTGGAAGTGATTCATTTGACGTTGGATGATCCTAGTACAAGTACTAGGCGGATTGTAGCGGCAAAATTTTTGTTACTGCAAATGCAGATTTGATTGATTTGGTTTTGTGGTCAGATGAATCGCTTTTTACGAGTAGTGTCATAATGAACATATTTGGTCGTTAGAAAATCCCCGTTCTGTAGGAATTCAATCGTGTCAACACAGCTTTTCTAGAAATGTCTGGTGCGACATTTTCAATGGCCAATTGTTTCTGCGTATTGCCACAACGTTTGAATGGAAACTCATATTTAGCCCTTTTAAAGCAGGACGGTACACCACCGCATGTTCGTCGCGAAATAACCACATGGTTAAATAGTCACTTTAGACAACGACGGATTCTCAGAAGCGGACCCGTACATTGGCCTGCGAGGTCTCCTGATTTGAACCCCCTGGATTTCTTTTTGAGGGGAGCCTTTAAACAACTAGTGTATGCTGAATAAATTAATACTGTTCAATTGTGGTCTTTTTGAACATTTATTGAAATAAAGCTTTGATGATCTAATTTATTTGCTTTTTCATCTTTACAAAAACAATGTACTCTAGGAAAAAACACAAGAGCAACTATTTGTATCAAATTGAACATAAAATTTGAAAAATTTCGGGTTTCGAATGAAAACAGTAGCGTACTATTTTTATTTGGAAAAATAATACCACTAATCCCCTGTATCTCCGCCACTAGTGCACGTTAATTTTAAGTAAAGACTTTTGGTTGTGGACAATACTTAGGTAAATCCACCTACCAAATCTTAGTTCATTCCAGTTGACGGTTTTGAAGATAAACAAAATTGTTCTTTATTTTTAAACTTATCTTTTTAATGAAGCCCCCGAGGAAAAAATGTTACATAGAAGGCTCCCCTTAAAATGCGGTCCTGTATATGAATTTTTGGTCACGGCTTGTTATTCACCCTGTATCCTGTCCTGTCCTGATGTCTTCAAATTATCCAATCATAAAGAGAAAGATCTGAAGCTGTAAGTTTCGTAAATGTTCATCGTAATGATTTTTTATATTTATACGGATGTGTTGTTACGTCAGCAGGTGACTCTTTATTGGCTATTTTATTGTCAACATTGAAGATATATGTAGAGTGTTCCATTGGCTTTTAGCCTTTTGTAACCGAGATTCATCCATTATTTAAGGCTTCGCAGGTTCTTAACCACCCGTTATAGTTTTCTGAAACTTAGTATGCTTACTGAGCTGATGTTATCGAGTCGACTGATACGAATGGGAAAAGAAACTTATATTTATTATTTATATTTACATATACTCTAAAAGGATCTTCATATGAACATAATGAAAGTACTCGGTAAACGCTTCAATTTGCGTTCTTTAATTCAGTAGTTACATCAATCATATTTGGACATACAAGTAATATTTGTAAATGTGGTGAATGTGCTACAAGATTATGCTCGTATAAACTAATGCACATTCATCATTTATTTGAATTACAAGTCAGTGCATTTTTAGTACCACAACTCTGTTTTTACATTTTAGGGTAAACATGGATACTCATGAATTCACGTTATACATTGATCTCCCTAAGCTGAGAATTGAGGCACACTATCATGTGGATGGCAAAATAGTACTTGTACCTGTCAAGGGAGATGGAAATTTGGAAGCAAATATAAGTAAGATAAATCACCTATATCGTTAATACTGATTGATGTCAAAACATTTCCTTTATGGCTTGTTTTTTGTTTTGTAGCTGACGCACATGCCAAAGCTCAGCTGAAAGGTGATTTGTATGAAAAAGGTGGTGATCAGTATTTAAAGTATAATACCTTTGATCTACACGTTGATGTGGGGGGTGGATCTGTGAGGTTGGAGAATTTATTCAATGGGGATAAAGTTCTGCGTAAGTATAATTTGTGTCTGAATTATTGTACATGGCCATACCAGTTTGGTTGTGCCTGTTTAGCAGCAAAGAATACAGAGTTACCAGTAGAAGGAGCACTCGTGAAAAAGCCTTTGATCTGACTTCTAAGGATGCCAACATTTTCGTAGTGGCCGATTCTGGTAACAAATGGTATTTTGTTATGTCTTATTTTGATAAACCTTTGGATGAGTTAATGTTGTCAACTTAGGATTAGCTTTATTTGCCCTAGTAGCAGCAGAAAACTGTTTATCAGGTTGAGTGAAACTGACGCCCAAGACTTCAGTTTTTATTCGATTTCCTACGTTGTCTACACAAGCCAGCTCAACCAAGTTTTTAGTAAAAATTTTCTCCAATTCCGTATCATATTTAACGAAGCTCCGAAAAGGTACTATCGTGCCTCCAAATTGATTATGGGTTGTTTTGGAAATTACAAGTAAATCTACACATCACATTTTTGTCATATCGCGTTTTTGACACTGGTACACTCATGAATCGTAGATATATTTTGGATGGTTCTCCTTCGTCAGACCTGAGGTCCTGTATGAAAAACAGATTCCAACTATGCTGGAATAACATTACTTGCCTAAAATCGTTAGCAATGCATCGGATCACCATTCGCCTGCTTCATTTTGCATCCAGGCATGCAGCACTTACTCGTCATAGTGAATCGCCCTGTACACATCCAACGTCCTCGCGACCCACTTCCGAGGGCCGGCCATCGACGATCTTGGCAGTTATAGTACGGAGTTTCCGCATTTGCTTAGACAAATATTTTGATTGTATTTTCGCATTCGAAAGAGACTTTCAATGAATCTACATGTTGCGTTTATTAAAGTTGTGCATAAACCTTATCAGAATATTTTTCCTAGCAGATGGGAAGATACTTCCCCGACTATTACAGCAGCTAATGAGTGCGTGATTGAATCCAATATTACAGGTGGGGCTTCAGCTACCAGAGGTATCATATCAGCCACCGAGGCAGAATCTGACTTTTCGATGGAGTGATTCTTCTATTGGTACCTCTGTATTCTTTGTTTAGCAGTGTGTGTTTTGGTAAAGCAGGTGGTGGAGAATAGAACCTCACCGTTAGGTGTGCAGTACTTAGCCTAACGTTGCTATCTATACTTCTCATAACATACTGTATACACCTAAATTTTAGTTGGAATGATCAATGATGTCGTGAACAAGAACTTCGACGCCTTCGTAAAAGAATTAATGCCTGTAATCGAGAAGGGGTTGGCTTGCAAGTTCAAGGAGACTGCAAATGCTATAGTGGAAACTTTCACATACAGCCAGCTGTTCCCTCACTGAAGACATCTTCGGTATGATATCTATGCAGTGTGATTTTTTGTTAAGTTGAAGTTGACAATTTTTTTACTGTCGTATATATGTGTTAATAAAGTGCTGAATTTAGATCTAGACGATTTTGTGCGGAGATTACTTTATGCTTGAAACAAATCTCCATGGGACGTTCCTTTCCTGAAGGCACGACTTTTGGATTAGTCAAGAGAAACGAAGTTTTTTCAATGCTATCTATTTCCTGTCACTGACAATGGTAGACAGTTTCTTCCTTATCGCACTGCTCGCAAACGACTTGATAAGCTGTATCATTCCTCCACCGACATTTGCAGGGCTCTCTGATTGTTCTTTGTCCTAGTCGCACACCCCTAAAGCACAAATATATGCCATAAATCCAATAATCGAGAATAAACATAAAAGTACAAGCATGTTTTTGACAGAACTGATTTTCCGGCTTCCTTCTACAGGAACTGCTGAGGTATTTCAGTGTTCAAAATCTTCCTAGGAACAGACACCTTACTTGAAAGGACTGAAGCAGGTACCCCTGCGGATCATTTCAATATGTTGGGAATCGTTCATGGCCTTCTGAAGATAGAAAGCTTTATTTTGAGATAATCGTTTCAGTGAGAATCAGAAGCCTCAAACTGTAGGTTCATCGATCTGAACAAAAATCAGAATTCTTTTTGACATGAACTTCGATCACCTTGAGGCGTGTCCAAGCATGTTTGAGTTTTGTTACAGCTCCAAAGAGACTTAAGGATGAGAGTTAATCTACTTGACCAATATAGTACCTGCCGCAACACAAGGTGGCGCAGTTGTCAGTATCCTTGCAACGCCGCCCAACGGTGAATTGGCACCAATTCGGGCCCGTATCGAGGTACCGCAACGTATCCGTCGTATCCTTTTCTTCATCGCGCCATTCTTTTTCGTTCAATGGCCTCCAGAGGTCGTTATCTGATGAGATGCGCTCTGCGCTGTGGTACCGACTCTTCAGTTCCTCAGTAATGACAGTGAATGGTTGGAGGCGCTTGAAGCAAGTGCGGTAGGTACACGAACCTGAAAACAGAGGGCGCAATTTCAGTACCACAATGTACGAGTACTATTGGCATAGTTTAAAGGTGCGCTTACACATGCGATCTCCTGAGCAATTATTGCTTGGCGACACATATGGATCAAAGTTGAGCAATTAATGGAGCAATCTGTAGCAATTTCTATAAAGTGCGGAAATTGTTTCGGCAACATTGTTTGTTAATTGCTCCATATATTCTGTATTGCCCAAGGTCGCCGACACGAATTGCCGGTTATTCACTGGAAATGGAAATTTAAGTCAATTTCCTGTTTCTATCTCATTTGGACGTATTTATTCTGCGGTACTACGTCTCACTTCCGGGGGAGAGCGAGAGCATGGGCTGAATACAGTGGCGCCAGCGCTCTGTCTGTTGGGAATTATGTTGTGTGTGACTGCACGTGGTTGATTAAACAAAATGGCGTCATTGTCTTAATGGAAAAATGAAAAGTTGCGTGCTTGTTTGAGGGTTAACAAGAGTTCTTTTAAAGATAGCTTGATTTTAAAAAAGATGAATGGACTTCCATAGGCCTGCAGTTCGAAATATCTCATGACGAAGCAGTAAAAAAATCAAATATGTACGCAAATACTCTAACAGTGACGTAAAGAAATTAGAGAAGAAGCAAAAAGTCGGCAGTGGCGCTCTTCAAGAAAGCAATTGGTTCGCTTTCAAAAGTTTTTTTTAAAGACGCAGATGAAGCTGATTCAAGACTAGAAACTGAAAGACTTTCAGAGGTGAGTATTCTATTTTACTGAAAAAATTACAAATAAGCAGATTGCCATAGAATCCGTTTTGTTGCCTTCGACTCAATAAAATAAAAGCGCTACAAGCCGCCTCTACGAGCGAGCGACGGGCTTTCAACTAAATTGATTTGGTTTGGCAAATGAATGTATTGGCTAATTCTCTGAAGTTGCTCCATATCGCTCAATATTGTTGTTGCAGAACATTTTTGGCGAAATTATACTTGTTGCCGTTGCCGTAAATTGCTTGATATTTTGTTCTCGCACAATGGACAACTATTGCTATATGAGCAATTTTTATTGCCCGTGTAAATGTACTTTAATACTATTAGCAGCGCAAGTGTCCACAGTGTTGACAGGTCCAGTTTACGATCACGGAAAATTTTGATAATGATAATAAAATTATTTGCAGTGCAAACATTTCACAGTACAAAAAAAGCATCTGAGTAAGTGGCTAAATCTTTTGCGTTTGCTGGCTCTGAATTTAAAGTAAAGACATATACGATGAGGCTCAAGTCGTAATGTGTATGAGAAAGAAGCGTGCAATATGTATGTTAGAAAGACTGCGTCGTTGGAAACGCAGCAAGCCGCAGCTGCGTATGTGGCCTCGTCACTCGCGTTGCTAGGCAACGGAGTGCTTATCATTCTTTCAAACACACGTATTGCACGGTTCTTGCGCTTGTGTGTCGTACAAATTACGACGTCAGTGGTACATGGATTTCACTGTGTGTTTGCATTTTACTAAAGTTTTACTAAAGAATGAACTATTTATCACGTGCAACCCGCGGTGACAAATCGCAGAGTCAGTCATACGACTGGGGGTGACAAGTTTTTCAGGGTGCAACTCATTGCAATTCTCAGGGAGTTAAGCTGCTGATGGTGTGTTATAATACCTGATAATCCATGGCATTTGCAGACTTTTTGTTCACTTCTTATCACAATTTTGACTCCTACTTCTCCATTATACCTTAAAATATTCTGAGCTTTATCACCTGAAAATCAACAAGACGAATTATGAGTTCATGCTAATACGGCTTTTGTAATATGGTGATATATACATATACAGATATACAGGGTGACTGAAGGGCTCGTAGATGCAAAAGAAACAAACAGAAAACACCTTCAGTGATCTTTTTGATCAGGTTACTTAATGGCCACAAACGGTTCTTTACCTTTCTTTTTGAGCTGAAAGAACTTATACGTCAACCTCCTGGCGAATTTGGTGTTATCTCCACATCCTCCCCAACGCCATCCGCCTGCAGTAACGTTTACGTGAGCATGCGCACCAGAGTGCTTTCCGGGAGTCGCAGCGCATGCGCAGTCCTCTAGGGTACCAGCCGCGCAAGCTCTGGCCACTAGCCACATGAATGCTGATGTGGTCAGGGAATATACGAAGGATGTCTCGCGATATACTTTTTTGAAGATTCGTTTTAAGCGCAGGCAAGGCCATTGCTCGTATCTGAAAAAAATACTGCTTCGTAAATATAACACAATTCAACATTTGATCTAAGAGCTATGACTGGACTCCATAGAGGTATAATAGGAATAAGTCCGTTAGCCTGCCAGCGATGAGATCTTCCTATCCCCATTGCGTTGCGTGTGACTCGCACGGGTGTTACGTATCTTGAAAAGTGGCATTTCGTCGGTTTTAGATGTTAACCTAGCACAAGCTTTTTTTTTTTTATTTCGAAACAGCCGCGCAGGCAGAAGCCTAAATGCCGGAACACCGCGGCTGCTATGATGATCCCAAAGAAATTTTGTTAATACGATTTTTGAACTGCCTAAGGTTAGTAGAACTGGGAAAAGCTTCCTCCCGTAGATTGTTCCACAATCTAGACACCCTCGGGACAAATGAGCGGTCGTATCGGCCAGTTCTGGATGTACAAACTTTGACACGGTTAGGATTGGACGCCGAAGTCGGCGGGTCTGTCTGGCAGGCACATCGCGCGGCGGCATCATGGAAGAGAGCTCTGAGGAGCAAAGCCCGTTGGTGTAGCGATAGAAAAGAGCTAGATCGCCGACGGCCCGCCGGTGCGAAAGAGTCCCGAGACTGTCTGTTAGGGAAGAGTCATCGATCAGTCGGACCGCCCTCCTCTGGACAGCATCGAGCATGGACAATGTAGTCGGGGCGGCAGCACCCCAAATGTGTGAGCAATACTCGAGGCTAGGCCTTGTCTGGGCCTTGTATAGAGTGAGAAGGTCATGCGGAGAAAAGTACTTCTTAGCCCTAAACAAATAGCCTAGCTTTTTCCCAGCAGCTGCAGCTATTGAAGAGATGTGTTCGTGCCAGATCAGGTCCTCGGTGATCTGGACTCCGACCAGCCGAAATGAATGGCTCTTTGGTAGAACTCGACCGTCCATCGAAACTGTGTGAGCGCTAGGACGCTTTTTGTTCGTCAGAGTACAGTACTGTGTTTTGGAAGCATTGAACTGTACAAGATTGTTGCGTCCCCAAGCAGTGATAGCCTCCAGGTCTCTTGTCAGAGAAGAAGTCGTCGCTAGTCTTCTTTTTTCCAGCTCAGCGGCAGAGATCGGCTTGTCACTCTGAATCCTTGCATGCAGAGTGCTGTCATCAGCGAAGCTGTGGATTGGGTTGATCGTGCAGGAAAGGAGGTCGTTGATATGTAAGAGAAACAGTGTTGGAGCCAAGACCGACCCCTGGGGAACACCCGCGTTGACGTTGTGGGATGAAGAGGAGAATCCGTCAATTACGACGGATATCTTGCGGCCAGAGAGAAAGTCAGCCACCCATCTGCAAAGCTTTTCTGGGTGGCCGTAGGATGGAAGTTTGCTCAAGAGGGCAGCGTGCCACAGCTGATAGAACGCTTTCGTGATGTCAAGAGCAACGACATGAGCCTCACCATGAGACTGGATGAGTTTACTCCACAGTTGCGTGACGTAAGCTAGGAGGTCCCCTGTGGATCGTTGGTGCCGGAAACCGTACAGCCTGTCGCTAATCAAGCTGTGACGTTCGAGGTAGTCTAGAAGCTCGCGATTTATGCACCTCTCCATCACTTTACTTATAACAGAAAGCAGAGCTATAGGCCTGTAGTTGTAAGGGTCGGTTTTAGATCCTTTTTTTGGGATGGCCTGTACATGAGCAAATTTCCAGTTTTCTGGGAAGGTGCCGGATTCATAACATATCTGGAAGAGACGCGAAAGAACTGGAGCAAGCTCAGCTGCACATCTCTTCAGTACAATGGCAGGAATCAATTCCGGACCAGAAGCTTTGTTGGTGTCGAGCGACAAGAGCACTCGTCTTACGGTCTTATGCCTGAATGTTACCTCCCGCATAGTGTGGGGAACCCTTTGAATTGACGGCACTTGGGCGTTGGTGGGGACGTCCATGGTGGAGTTGGCAGCAAAGATCTTGGCTAGCACTTCCGCCTTGGTCTTTGAGTCGAATACAATAGTTCCATCCTGACACGTAAGTGGTGGAAGGCTACTGTGTGAGAAGTTCTTTTCAATCTGCTTGGCCAGCGTCCAGAAAGACCGACTGCCATTGCGCTGCGACATTACCGTGTGCCTAACTTTTATATCATGCTGGGTTTTGGCATTGCGAACCGCTTCGTTATATTTGTTTCTGGACTCGACGTCGGCTTGTCTGTTCTCTACAGTGGGGTTTTGTAAGTAGGTTCTGTGGGCCTTGATCTTCTGCTGGCGAGCAGTGTCACACGATTTGTTGAACCAGCTGTTGGACCCTGGTTTAGGAACTTTCACTGTGTGAGGGATGTATTCCTCCATTCCGACGTGGATAATTTCGGTTATTGAAGAACAGACAGTCGACGCATCCGCGTCAGTGAAACAGACATCTCTCCAAGGAAAGCTAGAGAAGAAGTCACTGAGCCCCTCCCAGTCGGCATGTCCGTAATGCCAAGTTTTGCGGCCTGTGCGAGTTTCTGCTGCCACAGCGGCTTCTGACCGAAACCTAACCTCCACAACACCGTGATCTGAGTTACCCAGGGGGGACAGGACAGCAGTGCTGTAAGGGGCAGGATGCGTGGCCAGAAAGAGATCCAGCAGGCTACTGGAGTGTGACGAGACCCGGGGAAAAAAGTAGGGCTCGTCACCAGCTGGGTCAGCCCTTGAGTAAGAGCGAACGCTTCGAGTGCACGACCTGCTGCATCGGTCTTATTTGAGCCCAACCAAAGCTCATTATGGGCATTGAAATCACCGAGAAGAAATACCTCTGAAGCGGGGTGATTGATGTTCAGGAAGTCGATCTGGACGGCAAGGTATTCGAATAGGTCATCCCAGTTATGGTTCGAGGGAGAGCGATAAAGGCAGCAAATAAATTTGGGTGATGTTTTGGAGTTGAGGCGAAGCCACAGAATGTCCTTCCGGTCTGATTCCAAAGAAAGATCCCTGGAGCAGGAAAGACTGCTGCGGACAAAAGCCACAACTCCCCCGTTCTTTCTCAGATTGGAGTGCACCTCGTAGTTTGGGAAGTTGAGATGGTTAATCGGTGCAGTCTCTGAGATTTTTGTCTCCGCCAAGAAAAGCACGGCGGGACGACTGGATTGCAGGTAGTGATGAACAGCATCAATGTTGCTGTTGATCCCGCAGATGTTCGAAAAACAAATTTTATCTTCGATGTTGTTCCCTCGAGCCCACCCTCCACCCGGACATTCCGAGAGTGGAGTGAGTTTACGTCCGGGAAGCTGTTGTACACTTGTTGTGAATTCGTTTTGTCGCTGTAGGTGTTGGGTCAGCGACCAGCGATCATAGCAAGCAAACGAGGAATCAACTGTTTGGAAGCTACCTAATCTATAAGACGACATTTCATCGGATTTTGTCGATTTTCAGGTTTTTTACATAATAGCCATGCCGTCTGTTTTGTAGATCCACAGTTTTGACGACGACAGCACTCTACATGCAGTAATTTAGAGTGACAAACCGATCTCTGCCGGTGAGCTAGAGAAAATTAGTCTACCAGCGACTTCCTCTCTGACGAGAGAACTGGAGGTTATTACTGCTTGTGGTGCAACAATCTTGTACAGCTCAATGCTTCCAAAACACAGTACTATTCCTAGACTTGAGTTTTACCAAAGAGGCATTAATTTCGGGTGGTCGAGGTCCATATCACTGGGGACTTGATCTGGCACGAGCTCATCTCGTCAATAGCGGCAGCTGTTGGGAAAAAGCTAAGCTAAGGGCTAAGAAGTACTTCTCACTGTGTACAAGGCCCAGATAAGACCTAGCCTGTACTGTTTGGGATCCTGCCGCCCCGACTACATTATCCATGCTCGATCGTGTTCAGAGAATGGTCCGACTGATCGATGACTCTTCTCTAACAGACAGTCTTGGGACCCCTTCGCAACGGCGGCCCTCGGCGATCTAGCTCTCTTCTACCGTGACGCAAACGGGATTTGCTCCTCAGCTATCCTCTATGTTTTCGCCGCGGGATGTGCCTGTCATATATAACAAAAAATTAATTCACCTTCGTTCTCCCCCTGAGAGGAATTGCTGCAGGTAACCAATCCCAATCGACTTTCAAAAACTACGTCCTTGGCATAGTAGCAACAATGAGTAAACATTTCATCGAAGTCCGAGCGAACAGACAAGCAGACAGACTAACGGAAACGTGTGACATGGTATTTCGTGATATACATGTCATATAACATCCAAAAAACATAATATCTCCTTATCTACAATTTTCGCGATTACAACATTCCCCCGATAGTGGGAAGTGAAAACCTAACATAACAATGCTTCCTCATCAATTGGCGTGGTCAATATAAAAATTATGTTTGTATAGATATGTTGCATATAAGTTATTGGGTATAAGCTATTACTGCAAGTTACTTACTGAAAATCATGTGTGCAGGAGTTCAGAGTCAATTCTCTAGTAGCATTTATAATTTCAGCTAGGCCTCTTCTTCTTTTGCACAACCCACTTTGATGTTTCAATTCTTTCAACCACCTACAAATTCCTTTAGGGTTTTCATTGAAAGTTGGCAAGTGTTTCGTCAAGATTAGTTGGACGAATGATCTCTTTTTGCAGGCTTTTGTCAGATTCCTGGAAAGTAAAAATATCTTAAATAGACTAAAATGATGGTGGTCACTCCGGAACAATACTTTTTACTAAGTTACGAGGTCTGTTAATAAAGTGATGAGAGTGGCAACGTAGTGTTTGCTCTGACAAAACTGGGTCTGCGTTCAGTACAAGTTTGAACTCGCTCGGGTCATTTGGTTGTTCGTTGTTTTTTTTTGAGAATTTAGTTTGTCCTATCGTGTTCTAAAAATTTCAGGCAACGGTATGCTATCAGGTTTTGCGTAAGGCCTTCATCTTTAAGAATCGATGGAAATATCGAGAGAATCCGGGATCTTGCGCGTTCAGATCTTCGGTTGACAGTCAAAATGATCGGACAAGAGTTAAATTTGACTCAAGCCACCGTTCTGCAGATCAAGAACCACTGGGTGTTGCATTATGATAATGCTCCTTGTAACACAGCAATGTCAATAAACAAGTTTTTTGACCTCTAAAAACATTCCTTCTTATCCTTCTTATTTGCCTGACTTGAGTCCTTGTGACTTTTTTCTCTTTCCGAAGTAGCAAAATCACCCTAAGGATACTCATTTCGAGGCAGTCGAAGACATTCAAACGGCTGTGGCTTCAGAAGCAAGTTATTTTGACGGTGACAATATAAAATTGTAATTATATTTGTATAAGAATTAAAAAAAATATCTCAACACTTAATTTACAGACCTGGAGTGCTCTGAAAACTGAAACGTCTATAGAGCTTGCTTCACTATATGGACATGATTATAATATTGCATCTAGCTACAAAGTACGGATTCGTATATTACATCGTATAAGCATTTTTAATATTTTTTTTAATGCACCTTCACAGAGTTTCAGAGAAGCCTCCAACATAAAGCCTTTGATTTTTTGAAGGTCGGTAAGCTTAGCCTAAAGTCCAGATCTCACAAAACTTCGTTTTCGACATAGAGTTTTAGAGGATGTATCAGTAAGGACACAATATCTGAATTAAGCGCCATTTTGGTAGCCATAATTTTTTTTTATGCTCCAACTACCACGAAGGCCTAAAGCTTAAACACCCATTGGGTACCGTGGGGCTATAGGGGGATACAGGGGAAAGGGGGGACGCCACACGGACTCTGGCGAGGGAACACGTGGCTCCGCCTACGAGATCCGCCGGGTGGTACCTCCGCGTTCGACAGTCAGAGACCGTCTACCACCTACGGACATCACACAACATCCATAGCCAAGAGAAAGATTTCTCCTGGGACGGGACTCGAACCCGCACAGCACACGGCGTCTGATCAGGAGACCGAAGGACCGAAGAGTCTACTACTGCGGCCACCGCTGCTGCCTGATGTGATAATGTCATAATGATTGTGACATGACAGATCGACAGTAGACAGGCGGCAGTTTATGAAAATGAATCATTACACAATAGAACAGCATATCCTCATTGTTAAAAATTATTACCAAAGTGGTGAAGGTTTAATTGCCACGATTCGAAAAGTGTAGCTAATATTCGGTCCGAATAATGTTCCCATCCACTGTGAAAGGAATAATCAAAAAAATTGAAAGTACTGGTTCTGTTAATGATGTGAACATACGAGACGAGCTCGCAGCGGTCGTCCACAAGAAAATGTCAGAATTCTAACAAAAGATATACACCTGCATGCCTACATAGTCCCATCGACTCAACAGCTTATCCACACAGACCATGCATAGCGAAGAGAGCTTAGCAATTGGATCCTTGGCCAACCGTATGTGAATGGTGATTTTGTAGACAAAATCATTTTTAGCGATAAGGCCCATTTTCATCTCGATGGCTTCGTCAATATACATAACTGCCGCATTTGGGGCACACAGAAACAAAGAGTAATTCATGAGAAAGTTATGCATCCAATATATCACTGTTTGGTGTGCACTATGGTCTGGATGAATTATTGGACAGTTTTTCTTTGATTACCAGGCGGGTAATCCACTAACAGTGAATGGCAAACGTTATCGTGCAATGACTACTCAGTTTTTTGTGCCAATTAGTCATGGCTCTTAATGACATATGGTTTCAGCAGGATGGTGCCACATGCCATACTGCTTATGAAGCATTGACAGTTTTGCACGAGTTTTCTCCTGGTCGAGTCATCTCCCGGTTTGGTGACCAGAATTGGCCGACACGCTCTTGCTATTCAACACCTTTCAACTTTTGACTTTGTGGTTATCTGAAGTAACAAGCTTATGCCAACAAGCCTGCAACCGAAGCTTTGAAAGCTGAAATCAGACGCTGTATCAACAAGGTACCACGACCTTTGTTCAAATTTTATTAAAAGAATGGGCATGTGCCAGCGGAGCCATGGCAGCCATTTACCTGATGTGTTGCTTCATACATAATTCAATAAATACTTCAGTTGTTTGTTATGAAATACCATGTTTAACAGAACCTTGAAAAATTGCGTTCGTATTTAAACACCCTTTAGTTAGATAAAAACTAGAGTAACGCTATAGTCCAAGGAGATATCTGACAAACTCCTTCACACCAGTCAGATATAAGGCATGCAAAGAAATATAAAGATGTCATACTTTTACCAGCAGTTTGAAGCAAGCAGATTGAGTGAGAAATAGACATAACGTTGTAGTCATATCACAAAACATAGTTTGCAATATTCTGATGATCGGTTAGCACAACCTAAAGAAGTCGAATATTCATTACAAATATTTGCTCTTTCCATACTCACTTTAATCTCGCATTCGAGATTTGTAGCACGAAGATGTCGAACGTTTTTTGATTTTCGTCACGTTTGTCACTGCGCTGTCTCTTTTGTCAGGCTATTTGACTTTAACGGGTGTTGGAAAAAGTTAGTCAATAATGACTGAAAAAGTAAAAAGCTTCAATTCTGACATACGGACACAATTACTAAGATGCAGTGCAAGAACTTAGGGCCCTATCATCAGTCGTTCCTACAATTGTAGGACGCCTTTATGGTCTCCTTGATTTTGATAGACGGGGGTTTCTGGATTTCTAATGTGCCGTGTCAGCGTCAGCGCTCTCATATTATCAGGCTATGTTTTCTTTTTAAATCGCACGACATTTCAGGTACCTTAAAGAAAAAATTATATTTATGTGTAGTATAGCCTTACCGGCGTATTTTCAATGAGATCAAATTTTTTGCGTTTATTAGAAATATTTGAAAGTACAAATAATTCTCAATCTCAATTTCATAATGTTTATTTTTTGACAGATGAGATAAGTGATGTCCATTGTTGCCAAGTTACTTTTTTTGGGAGAAATACGTAATAAAAAATGAGGTCATTTGTAAAATAAGAGTCTTAATTTATTGCAGATGACTTGTTTTATGAATAGTTATTTCAATATTCATTGAAAATTAGATGAAATTTTGAACAGTACGTGCCTAAACAGTGGAAAATGCACCAGCGGCTCGCGTGACAAAAAATACAAAAAGCACTAGCGGCCATTGCATATAAAAATACCCAACTTCTATTCGCCGATTTGGACCACGTCGCCAGGTCCACCCAATATATCAACGTCCAACATTATAGTTGAATAAAGATCAACGGCCATTTCATTAAATCATCAAAAAACTTGCATGTTCTTCTTTCTTATGGTTTCATTATTTACTGACTGGCAAATACTTTTTCAGTAATTTCTCATATATATCACATTTAATTAGGTATGTTTTGTGACATCAGCTTCACTTTAAATAATCCTTCAAGTACATGCATACAAAAAGTAGTCAGATTATAACTATAATATAGAAAAAACAATAACAGAAGTATTTTTGTGAAAGGCATATGACATTCTTCAAAAAAGTATATTTAGGACACGAGGTAGATTTAGTAAGGTAAAACCTGCTGGTCACACCTCCAAATCGCATTATCATGGCAATTATGTGGCGATTGCACATTTTTGCGCTAGTATATAAATAAGAATTTGACAAATCAAGTCAATGTATATTATTATGATTTGGCAACATCACAACTAGATTCATAAACTAGGATAGTGATGGTGGTATAGTGATCAGAATATTTATCTGAAATAAAAGAAATGAGTAGTTAACAATGTTCTATGTTATTTTCGTCATTAAAATAATGCAAAGTTGCATTGTTGCGATGAACAGTGTCACAGTTTATGTTATATTCATATAATGTTAAGCATTCCTTTGTGTAAACAAGAAAAAACCAGCTTATAAAGCAGTATTCTATACCGCAGTATTGCCATCCAAAAAGCAACTTTGAAGTTCTATAAAATATATATAAATATAAAAAATGATATTTTCGTACAAGTTACATCCTAATCTTTCATTTTAAAATACGAAATGAAATATTTGCGTTATGCGCTAAAGTATAGTTTAGCCGATGATATAAATCAATAGCATGAACAATTTGATGCAAATAGATATTTGTGACAACCTCAAAATAGAGGGCTGACACGGAACAGTCGAAAACTATAGAAATCAAGGAGGCCATAAAGGCGTCCTACAATTGAAAGAAACGACTGACGATACGGTCCTAAATTACCTGGCCTATAGACTTTAACGAATAGTGGCAGTAACTTGTTTAGCTGAAGCCAAACATGATCAAGGGATTTCAATATCATTTAATAGCTTTGGTAGCCTTTGGCCAAGCTACAGAAAGAAGTGCCTTACACACTTACGAGAGCAGACGGATACAGATGTTTAAGACAAACATCTTCGCAGACTCCGGACTCTGAGTGAATACAGTGGGCTTTAAAATTGAGTGTATGCTCAGTGAAATTAGTGCTTATCTTACATTTGTGTTGCAATTTTGTAGTGGCCGAAACGTCGTACAATAAACAAACATTAAGACATATTGGTTTAATTCAGCCATACAATCGAGTTTTACGATCAAAAAACGACAGGATAAGTTACAGAAGTTACATATTTGAATGTTATTAATCGCATGCTACAAGAAAATACGCATTTTTGTATGACCTTGCATAAGGAACTCGATCTTTTGAATTATTGTTTCATAATGACACTCCAGCAATGTCAGTGAAATGTCATTGGGCAAGCTAGGACAGCGTACGGAACTTTGCAACTTGCAAGCTTTTGAGGCTGTGGACATATAGTGGAGTACATTAGGTCTATACCGCAGAACTCACCTATGCCGTATTTGGCATTCTGTGAAATAAAAATTTTGGAGAAAATGAATCAAATACTACATATAAAAAAGGTCTATTATTTTTTTCCGAGTCTGACCTGGCTCTTTGAATTTAAAAATCTTTTCTAGGTGATCCCGTTTTTACATCTAAGGCCTTTATGCAGCTTAAGTATTTTTAGGAAATTTTCTACTTTTCTCGAATGCGTTATTCATTGTCGCATGGTCCAGAGATTTTGTTGGATGAATGATATCCATTGCGGTATTCAAAAAGGGTCTTTCTGAGTTTTGTGCAATATTTTAGCTCTCTCGCATACGACGTTGACCATTCGGCATCCGAGAACGCCCCCTGGCTAGATGATATGGTAAAGAAAAAACTATGCTTACTTGTTCTCACAAACTCCTTCACCACTTTCTAAACAAAAGCACATTAAAATCACAGCATGCACAGCGAGAAACAAGTAAAATCTCATGGTTCACATGATGGTGGTCGAACTAAACCGGGCGTGTCGTCTGTCGGCGTCGATAAATATTGGATTTTGTTTAAAAAAGCATTATCTGAAACGACGTTCACATCCTCCCGTATTGGCAACGGCAGAGGAAGTCGTGTATATACCAACACGCCTTGTGTGCGTCTATGAAAAAAAAATAATCGGCAGACTATGATGCATCAGTTCAAAATGGAGGGCTGTTGACAGATCATGAGTCATAGGAAAAAGCCAAGAAAAATTGAAATCAAGCGGTCTCACTCATCATGTTCTATCCATCTCTAAAAGTAGCTTTGTCGCACCTGCATGATAAACTCGATATACTGGGGTAGTGGTGTATACAGGGTATCCAAGATAAGGAACCTATGCATGGGAGTCTCAACACCTCTGGGGATATAGTTTAGATTGAATTAGGGAAAATTGCGTTCTCTTCGCGTATTGAGAAACTTGTGAAATTTTCATGGCTTACTGAGAAATTTGGGAAAAACTAAACTTTGGTCAAATAATTTTTATCCAACTTTATTTTGAGGCAATCAAACAACTAATTAAACTTTTCCAATGGAACTTTTTAGGCACTACTTGATATGGCGTCGGTTCGCTTTTGAAAAATCATAATCAACTTTATTTTTTTATACGATCCGAAAAAAGTACAACCTGTATCTAAAATAGCATTTTTTTATATGAATTTAGCGATGTATCTCACGTTACATTTCTTTTCTTGGTTATAACGAAAAATGAGTTTTCTGTGATTTTTTATTTCGGTGCAAAGAAATGCTTGAGTCGACATAAATACCTGCCACCGAGTATTGTTATTATTGTGTATTGTTATTATTGCTCTATTACCATCAAATATACCAGGCCGTTATTCTAGTAATGAAGTAAAGTTCGACATGCTTACGTGCTACATTTTGTGCTATAAAAATACTGCAGAAATGTATCTGGTTAAATTTCAAAGAAAAAGGCAGACAAGTAAGTTCATTTTCTTACAATTGGCTTGAAATTTGAATAAACTCTAGGCAAATTCCAGAGTACCTTTCTAGGCGATTTCCCGGAAGGTGGATTGGAACCTCTAGTGAAGTGTCCTGGCCAGCGCGTTACTCGGATTTAACTGCTATGGACTGTTTTGCTTGGCGCTTTATCAAAAACCAAGTTTATCAGCATAAATTTGAAACTGAGCAGCAGTTACGAGAATGCGTTTTAGAAGCATTTAGTACCTATGACTACACTAAAATGTCACACAATATTTTGAATTCTACTGTTAGGTCATATTTACGTTTAGAAAATAATGGCAACCTATTTGAACACCCATTGTGAATTGTGAATGAAATAAAAATAATGTTAAAAATGTGTTATTCGGAATATCACTAGATTTACCATATTCATAAAATTTTACCCGATCATATCATAATGTAATATGTAATATGCATCTATCAATAGTCACCTAATCTAACATCAAGCATTTGTTTGCAACACCTACTTAAGACAAAAAAAGAAGGAAAAACACATTTTTCTTTATAACTAAGAAAATGTGTGTAACATGTGATACTTCGTTGAACTCCTAGAAAAAGATAGAGGCTATCAGATACGTCCTTTTTTTTGGATCATATAAGAAATAAAGTTGATAATGGTTTCTCAAAAACACTGTATAGTGGCGGAGGAAAAAATAAATTAATCTGAACGACATATAAACATGGAATATAAAATATAAAAAAGTAATTCCACATATTATGTGGCTTCGTTCGGCCAGAAAATTATGGAGTTCTATAAGAAATATTTTATTGTGGTGACGTCATATCTTCGAAAATTTGCATATGGGTAGCGATCTGTAATGTAGAGGCTTACATCTGACTGATCGGGCTTAAATGCCCTAATTCCGGCCCTGACCATGTCCAACGAACGGAAAAAAGGAGACACATAAATTAAGTGAGCACCGTCCCGGTCGAAATGACTTGAGACTTTTCGTTAAACTTCCCATAGCATAAATTCACGGTAAACCAATAATTTAAAGGCGATGCGGGGTGGCACCGTAGAATAATTAGGGAGGCACGGAGAACGCCGAAATGACAGGGTCCGGTTGTCCCGTATAATTAGCAATATTAAAAGTGAAGAATATCACACCAGCGCGCAGGAATATACCTGTCAGAGGTCGTCATTCAGCGTTTTTTGCGGCGCGGTAATGACCGCAGCGGCAAGGTCTTGGGTGGCCCACACTCCAAGGTCGCCGTAAAACACTGCCGACAGCCTTATGATCGTGGATATCATCACCAATGACCGCATTGATACAATTCATTCGGAGATCTGAAGATCTCAAGAGAAACAGAATAATTCTGAATGTCAGTCTACTAATGAAAATGTATAGAGCAGACTGTGATTGCTGTAATTGCTACATTGGTGAAACATCAAGACCAGCTAATAGAGTCATCCATCAAACATGATTTGTATAGAATGCGTCATTTGTACATACAGGGAACTGTATAAGTAAAATATATCGACACATTCAAATAGATACATATTAAAAACAAATCTAAAGTACACGCACAAAACAAAAAACTAGTAAATTCCTAAATAAATCAGACTAGAGGGAGGTACAGTCGTTCACGGAGAATAAGCATTTGTTAATTAAAAGCTCTTTTAAATGATACTTTAAGCTCTTCGGATTTGTAATGTTTTACAGTTTCTTCGGTAACTTATTGAACAGTTTTCTCCTGTTGCCTCGTCATTTTTGAGTGAACGTCTCTATTCAGAGTTAAATATTTCTCTATTCGAATAGCCATATACTGAGAGTTCATATATTACGAGAGCAGGTAATGTTAGGAGCTACTACAACTATGGGTAGAAGCAAATTGTGCTATTGACCTCTCAATACTTTTTTGTGCTATGAAAATGGTGTAAGCTACCGATCAAGAGCACCAAAAGCAACTTGCTGCTCAATATCTAATTCTGGATCCAACAAGCCCATAATATGTTGTAATCAACTGGCTCTCTGAGAGTATGGTGCTTAAATTTCTGATCATATAGTTTAACTTATCATCGATGTGTCGAATTAGAAACCTAACGCTTTCCTTGTAATGCAAACACCATTATGGACGATATTCGGCATTTATAAATTCCGTTGGAGGTTGTGAAGCCTTACCAGGTTTGTTTTCTCTGTATTCAGGTATAACGTATAACTGATTGTCGCGAAACCAGTTATTTACCTCAGAAATTACTCCGCTGCAGTTTTCTTTCACGATGTCGTCTGAGTGACTCGCTACTAGCATTGTTGCCCAAAAGGTTGATCACTCAGACATAGAAAACTACAGGCCATTAACAGTTTGGATTCTCATTGTATGTTCTTGAGAAAAATAGCTTCATGTCAAAGAACATTGTTTCTCCAACGGTAGATCAACGCTAATTCAGTCATCTTATGATCAGCTGATAGAACTCTTGGAAGCAGCAGAATACCCGGTTGGAATCTTTTACATGGTGCAATCCTTGCTGCTCAACAGAGACCAGTATGTAGTAGTTCATCATAAAAATGACCATCTACTCTTAAAAGTCCAATCAAGCAAAATGTATGTGGGAGCTGCCGAACCTCAATGATCTTGAGACCTAACATATATTATTTATTTTTTACATTATTGATGATTGATATGATGTAGAATTAAGGTACATAACTATATAACAAAGGAGGAAGCTTCAAAATCTGTCTTCACCAAAGATTCATAAGAAACAGGGCATACGGTACAGTATGAAGAATGTGGAGGGATCCTATATAAAATTAAATAACAATTATCTTACCAGTTCCTCTATAGATAGTAATTCGGTTAGGTATACTTGAAGGCAAGGTATATAACTGACATTTTCCAAACCATATTTTTTTAATTCGAGACTATTGTGGTTTGTTATTACCACATGTTTTGTTTCACCACCTCAAGGTCAAAGCGTTGTTCCATCATTACTAGACAAGCTGGTATCCTTGAGATGTCGAGGACTATTTATCTCATTTAATGCTCGATGGGTGAAAGACCAAGAGATTCAGGGGCTAAGGCAACAAATCGACTTGTTTGTCCCGTAGAGCCAAAGGCTTAAAGGCGGCGACATTGGTATGGGGCCGTTTCTCTGATTCGCCATGTACGTCTGCCTCTTCGAGTCTGACAACAAACCTCCTTATGGCTATTTTTCTGAAGGACCGACCAGCCTCACTCACTATCAAACTCGCTTAGCGCTTCAAAATATTCTTGTCTTCTCACTCTAGGCATAATGAACAGATTGAAACAGCTTTTCACAACATATGTTCCATGACAAAGTGTTAATTGTAACTACAAAACACAACTATTGCTCACTTACTTTTTTGTAAGAACAGACGGTACCACAAAAAATACTCTACCTATATGGATGAAAAGCTGATCGTTATTTGTCCTAACCTAAACAAACATATACCTAGAAAATCTTTGTAATAAATTCATTATTACTGAGTGTACTTCTTTCTATGTCAGTAACATAAATAAATAATTACTGATGTTCTGGCTACACGGTTACACGGCCAATCTATATCACAATCCATGAAGAATACCGATAGATCACAGTAAAGATTGATCGCCTGACAGCCTAAAAGGATCCAACGTCGTGGCCGAAACTTCAGCAAAGTGCAATTTCAAAATATATTCATTCTTTGCCCAGAATAACATGTAGTTATATGGGAAATGGTTAAAACCAAGGGAACTGATGGGTGAGCTAGGGAAGAACCACAGAATTATGATCAATGTGTAGCATGATTCGAACACAAAAATCCCGTCGTGAATTTTGTGGGTGAATGGGAGGTGGGAGTAATAGGAAATCCACAATGAGAAAACTTTCTTCCGCAGCGGCACCTCTAAGAGTCATTAGAATTTGGTACAGCAGATGCAGAATCTGGTCATATTGTGCACAAAGCTAGGTGGTCGCTTTCTGAAAAAGCTTTTTTGCTTTATCAAAAATGGTGGAAGTGACAATATAGAGATACTTTACGTAGCACATCCACCCTATCTCTACATACTGACTTGTAGCCACTTTTGCGACTCCTCCGCGACATAAACAGTCTGCACCACCGAGTGCTCTCGAACTCGCTCTGCTTCGCGCTGCCA